CCAATATTTAAACTTGGAATATGGAATCAAATAATTTGGTTTTATTTGTTGTTATAACTGTTATTTAAATTTTCTTCGATTTGGTGAGTTCAAACTTCTTAAAAATTACGTACCTACGACACACGTTTAATAATTTCGCATCAGCACACTCAAACCTTAATCATAACCTTATCCCACTTGTAGCGTAAATGTTTATCACTTAAGTGAGTTGTTTCAAAAGAAATTATGCTTCAATATAGCTTTACAAAGCTGTTAAATTGAAAGATAAATACAAAGAAACCCAGTAGCCAAATGACAAATGAGTGAGTATTTACGGTGTAGCAAAGCGGTAAACTCATCAATTTTCCGCGGTATATTAACAGACATTAAGCTGTCAATTTTTAATTAATACATCTGGTGCTGTAAAACTGATGTTATTAGATCATCTGTTTGTTTTTTCCCGGTATTGTTTCCAACACGTTACTTATTAATTAGGCGGTAAAGAGTTTTAATGGATCTTTAGAAATACAACCATGTGAAGTAGTCTGCTAAATTATGTAGTTTTATAGGGTAAATATACTTTTTATATAAAATACACTTATAGATAATTTACAGAAGAAAATTGGCAAACTCATAATGCGATCACATTTATCTGGTTTCATTTGAAAATCATTTATTCGAATACATTCCTTGGTTCTTTTACGGGACAAGAAGAAATGTGCTCAACTTATATATAATATTTTCAGTAACAATTTTTCTTAGTGTCTGAGGCTKTTTAGGTAAAACGCGGAATTCGACTTATTGAAAATCCATTGTAGAGGAACAATTTCTATTGGTYTTGCTTTYTGTACGATGCAAATTCTGAAATGARGAAGGTTTACTTCTTCTTTAAATTTTTCACAAATTTACTCCGGGTGGTTTGTCAACTTTAGTTTTCCTTCAATAATATTATTACTTTTGCTAGACATTTTCATTGGAATATACTTTGTTTCTTCGGTCATTTTTCGTATAATTTACCTGGTCATTACAATTGTTGGGCAATAAATCGAATTTATTTTTATTTTGTTTTCTAATCTCTTGGACATAAACATTTCTATCGTGGTAAACCTAATTATTACAATACATTTTGCATTATAATTAGTTTTGCTATTAAAATGTCCACAATGGRTATTATTTAATAAATTGAATRAACTTCACTTCAACMAACTCGACCAGGCYTTGCCCGTTYYTCAATACTACAATTTAAGTTKTCATTAAAKATTTCATTATTATACTTTAGCAACCCAACTCTAGAATGTCCAATGCGAAMGTTAATTCTTGATCAATGATTAACTTACTGGAAGTAGAATGAATAAGGAACTATTCGCTCTGGCTCTGCTGCTGATCAACTAAACTGCAGCCGGTCGGATCTCTAGCAGAATTCATTAATTGTTCTTAGATTTCAAAATGCGTTTTTCAGGTTTGGTACGATATATGTATACAGAATAATTATATACCATCCTGCATCATTACCAACGAAAAATAAAACTCAGGCGACTGCCGAAGCCGGATCGCTTAAAACTGTTCCCTCTAATTATAATTGTTCGGGAAACCGAAACTGGTCATTATACTTATTTCACAGAAAATTTCTTCGTACTGTGTAACAGTTTAAATTCCCACAAACTCGTTTGAAAAAGTTTTTGTTACCGTTCAGAATTGAATTATTCTTCTCTTGGAACATGAATTTGTAGCAATTCAATTCGTTAAATCATATACGTCAATTAATAGTACAAAAAGTAATTTAGGTGGCACTTAAATATGTGTTTAGGGAAGCAATAAAGTATTACTTAGGCTAACTTTTAGGGTATCAAATGAAATCTAATGCATAATTCATAAAGGCTTTTGGAAATTGCGCACTAAATCATCAAAATTAAAGTTGATTTATCGGCCTAAAAACAAATTTATTCAAATAGCGCTGTGTAAAACCCTTGCCGCATTAGGGAGTAATAAAATTGCAGAATTATGATAAACCCAGATTTCGGAAAAAGGGTAGAATTAAAATCAAATTATTTGGTTTTACGAAGCCAGTAATGTTTGCAGAATTTTACCATGGCTCTGCAGTGGCGTAATGTATTCAACATAATGCAGATGTTATCAGTTAAAAATGTAAAGTATTATAGTCGATTTGTTTAAAACTATCTACCCAAACTAAATATAATTTAAAACATTTTGTGGGTTGAGTTTGTCCTATTTAATTGGCTAGCCACTAAAATTTCGATTTTTTTTTTAGTTTAAAACCAACTCCAAAAGATGGGGTCACCAAGAGCAACCCCAGCAAAAGACATCGAGAACGTCTCAACGCTGAACTGGATACTTTGGCCAGTCTTTTGCCTTTTGAGCAAAATATCTTATCCAAACTCGATCGATTATCTATCCTCCGTCTTTCCGTCAGCTATCTACGCACAAAGAGTTATTTTCAAGGTAAGAATTTCCTCTATGTTGCGAACTTAAATTGACAATGCAATAAAATTTATTACAAAAACAAACATAGACCAAACATTGAGTCGGTCAAACCACCCCAACAAAATCGGTTTGGATATTAAATTGCTAGTATGGCATCGTAGGTCCCAATACATTTAATGAAGCCATAAAAGTAAAAGGTTACACATAAATTTCATAAATAAATTTAACATACGTGTTGTATCTGAATACTTTATATGTTACATTCTTTAAACTAAAAACGAGGCATAGTTCATAAATAACAATTAGTAGGTATTTATAACGAAATCACTAAATTTCTCTCCGACAAGTTTGGGTATCTTCATTAACACACTCTGCTTTGGGAACGATTTATTGTGATTTTTTAATCACTTTTAAATATTTAGCTCCACCGTCATATACAACCTACATTATTATGCATGTGTTAATATCCAATTATATTTGATTTAAATAGGAAATTGTAATTCGAGTGTATTGCAAATTGTAGTGTTTATTAAATGTCAACCGGCAAAAATTATTTCAAAGAGTATTGATGAAAAGGTTTGTAAAGGCGAAACTTATATTAAGAAATACTTAATTTGTTAATAAGTTTTCTTATTAACCTATTCTCTATTACTATTAACCTATTCTCGAAAGTTATGTTGGTATAATAGAAAATTGACCAAGTTTTTGTACAATAAAATAGTAGTGTAATTTTAATTCTTCTTAATATGCTATCGAATCTTTTACTTCCTCCATTACAACAAAATTTTAATTTTTTTGTAATAAAAAGTAATTTGACTTGTTTCGAAAATTTGTTTCGAAAATTTGTTTTCAAAAGTCATCAAGACATGTTGCAAAGAACAAATATGCATCTTCTTTTGTACGTTTTCTTACGTACGAAGTACTTTGCACTTTACTCAATTTAGTCCTCATTTTAAAGTTATTTTACCTTTGCCCCACTTTAAATTTAAGTGTTTCAATTCAAAAAAACCGCCACTTCAAAAAAAAATGTTTCAAATAAAACAAACTCATTTTTTGTACTAGTCAAAATCTCCAGCAAAATGTTATGTTGCGGTTAGCATTTGAATTTCCTAATCCGAATAGGCAAACGTCCTCCTCTCAGATATTAAGTTCTTATTTTAAACATTTTTTTATAGGATCACTAATTTGCTAAATATTTCAGCGTTTCATGGTAAAAAAAAACCGACCCGGTATACGAAAGAAAATTAAAAACCAGAACAAATTTTTAACGAACGCCTGACCAGTAATATAACTTCTTGAAGTATGGACTTTATGATTCTTTCACATTCAATCCACTTCGCTCCCGTTTGTTTCATTTACTAGAGTGCAACCGTAAATGCAAAAAGACCATAACAAAATTGAAGCAAATTTTATGAAAATGTTTCTGAACAAGAAAGCGATTTGAGGATTAACTCTCTAAAATCAGTGTTATGGTGGAAAAATCTAGACATATCAATTAAACTAATAATCCATCATTAATATTTACCGAATAAGTTCTGCAGTTTGATTGAGCAGCTCAATTTAATGTGGATCTTGCGTGTTGCCCAACTGCTGGCACGAAGTTACCCAGTTTACATCCGAGCGAAATTTGGTATAAATTTAGAATCGTGCAAGTTGATGGTGCTAATCAGCGAAAGGAAATTACTGATATGATTTCAATTCACTTTGAAATGCAGAGATTTACGAAATTATGCTTTTAGTGTTTTTGGGTGAATTTCTAAATTACTCTTGATTGCTTAATTAACACAACGACAAGAAATGCTCCTAAGAAATTGTATAATGATTTTTTTTCTGGAAGTGAAAAAAATATATGACACCGTTTTCGATAACTTGTTCTTGTGTGACCCTAATAACTAAGTAGGTATATGATTTATGACTCGTAGAAAACGCAAAGTTAAGTAATGTGGAATTTATTGCCAATTTGAAAACATGAATATAAAACTGGCATTAAAATCGATACATTAAATTATCACCTACTTCTCAGCGTATGAATGTCGCTGAGTTAGTGAAACTATTAAAAGCGACCACATATTCATTCTATCAATGAGCGTTTAAATCCTAATAAATGATGATCGTTCCATATCACGCGATTGATTTGTCGCTGTACGTCATCTAATTTCTATTTCTCGTGCTGGGATAACCCAAACATTCCCAATTGAGAGCTTATATTGTCAAAAGGGTATTATTTACCGGTGCTTAGTAGATTATGTCATTTGATCTTGACCTTACCTAAAACGATCCGTGTTATGGTTAATTTATTAAACGCAAATAGTAGATCAATAGCTTTGAAAAGGTCAATGAAAATCCGAGTACTTTGTATCATTAATGGACGCTTGGAGACCTTCAGCTACTTCGTCGCTATTTTTTTTACTAAAAAACTTAACTGTTCCTGCCAGTATAAGTTTTAAGAAAAGAGATGATGAAAAAGAAAGAAGGCCTGTAAACAAAACAGATGGAGAACTAAGGAAAAAATTAAAATCAGTGAGACCACAACATGTGCAAATAATAAAATATAGTAAAAGCAATAATCTTTAAATTAAATAAACCAAAGATTTGTGATTAAACTAATTAATCCTCTTCTTGGCACAACTCTTGCAGTTTAGGGCCACACCGAAAAAGAAACCGCCGGTCATTGCTGCTTCCATCCCAGAGATAAAATTTCAAAGGCTTTTGTACCAATGATTTGATCCCTTAAACGTGTTATTACTGTTCGTAGCTGTTCTTTTCTCGTGAATGAATGTCTTCTCATTTTAAATTTGCGTACTTTATTCCATGAGTTTCATTTAAGGACAATGATTTGCTAAGGCAAAATAATCACGTCCTTTATCGACCACTAGGCTAGTGTATTAAGGGTTCATGTTCAACCGTAATATTACATTCTCCAATATGTATTTGCTGTTTGGAATGTAAATGGACTCATTGATAGTTTGAACGATTCAGGATTATTCGCGTTTCTATAAGCACACACACGCATCATGAATTATTTGCTTGTTTGCTTCTAATTGATTTACTTGCTTTCCTTTCATTCCGAACACTCCATACCTTTAACGTTATTAGCACGTATGTAGCAGAATTGCAAATCTTTCTTCCAGCGTTAGTCTACTAAATTTTAAACTGTGACTAATTTTACGATACTTGGAACGGGAAAATTTGATGTTAATTTCGACTATCTTTTCCATTGCACCTGCAAATCTGTAAGTTCACTCGACAGTTTACAGCTTTTCGAAGGATAAGTGCTTTATTCGGGCAAAATCGATTTTTATTTTAGGCCGCAATTGTCTTAGAAAGCAAAATCGAAGGGCTTGTGCTAACCTTCCGGTGTGGCTGGGCGGCAGGCGCCGAAGGGGATGGGAAACTTCCGCCCTATAATTATGCAGCAGAGGAAGCGCGGCCATACGGCGCATAGACTAGATCGATGAGTTTCGAAATGAAAGTGTAGACTACGGTGAACAGTCCAATTTAGATAGAAATATTGCATTAGGAAAAACTCAGAAATTTGCCTAATGTCTAAGCTTTAAAATGTTTACTTTCTTTACTCAATGCCATTCTTTATTCAATTTAGGGGTGTTGATACCTTCCAATGCCATGAGACCGATGACATCATTTTATCTTTCTATTGCAGATATTTGAATCATCTTGCTGTAGATTCTACTCGAAACAGGATGGCACTCAACTGTCCTAATCTTGTACCGATATTTGGATCTTAGATACCTTAGATCTTAGTACCGGTCTTTAGATCTGTTTAATTCCTATGGTGGGACTGTTTTTTCCGTTATTGCCTAACACGTTAGGTGGTTTTCTTTTCTGGTTTTCTCTTAGAATCTACTTCAATTTTTAGTTCAAGCGAAAATACTATGGCTGGGGATAGACTTAACGGAAATTTGCTGACCAGTTTTGTTCTTATTTGCTGCTACTTACTCATTTATTTAATTTTTGCATTTGTCAGCTTTTTCTATACAATTTAGCTTTAATCGGGAACATATTATCCACTAATTTTTTTCTTAGATATTTTAATATATAAATTCATTTAAAATTTAGAGTAGTGTTTGCTGGAAAAATTATCGCGCATTTTCGTCTTTGGATGTTCTTTTAAATATTTTCATCTTACTTTCATGCAAGCGAACTCACTTTAATGTATTTTGCACTTTAGATAAACACTTGCAAATTAAATCTTGGCCAAAAATATACACTGACTTAAAAACATGTTGTTCTCACAGTAAACTCGTTATTATTTTGGTCGAAAATTATTGATTTTGAACGTATAATTATGCTTAGATTTGCGATCATACTCTGGTTTAAATTTGATCGACAGTGTATTCACAGAATTGCTATTTATTCTATGCTAAACCGCGTTGTGCCATTGTCTATGTTTTAGCTTCTTAAATCAATGTTTCAATGGTTTTAATATTATGGCTGTTACATACAAATTTTTTTTAGTAAATCTATATGACGTTCTAAACCCTAAAAGAAACGAAAATCGGTTGCAAGTTAGAAGATTTTACTGCTTCAATTCGATTACTTCTTTTTCCTTAGTAAACCAACAAAATACGGCCAATAAACTTACATTTATTTAGTTCCATTTTGCGTTTATATTAAAATGTTTATAGGGAAGTTATTAAACAAACCCACAAGAGATAAATTAAGCAGAAAATTAAGTTTTCTGAATAATTGTTGATACAAATTGCATGACTGATGGAAAAAGTGATGAATTTCAATTTTTGTGAAGCTTATTTTACTTCAGTTTATAAATGAATAAATAAATAAGATTACGTTGATCTTTAAACTGAAAATCTTGTGGTTTTCTAAAGTCACATTGAAATCGGACATTTTCTGAATTGCTTAAGGCTAAAGTAAATTATAATGAAAAAAAATTGCCAAAGGCAAATACGTCATTTTCCTGAAGGTTTGGAGGAGTTTAGAATCATTTATATCATACACAAACACAGGCAATCAATTATTTCAATTTTAGCTCCATCAAC